TTTCTTTCTTTCTTTCTTTCTTTCTTTCTTTCTTTCTTTCTTTCTTTCTTTCTTTCTTTCTTTCTTTCTCTCTTTCTCTCTTTCTCTCTTTCTCTCTCCCTCCCTCCCTTCCTTTTTTTGGGCCAGTTCCTCTGTATAACAACCCTAGCTGTCCTGGAACTTGCTTTGTAGCCTAGGCTGGAGTCATTTTAACTGGGGGTGGGGCCGTGCTCCAATGGATGGTCTCTCATCCACATGCACATCGTCAGCACTAACTGCACTCAGTAAGTTACTTTTTCAAAAAGAACAGACATTAGGAAAGAGGTGTATTAGAGGAAATAAGAGAAGTGGAGGAAGAGGGCATATATGATCAAAAATATCACATACATGTATAAAATTCTCTAAAGAATAAATAGTAAATATTTTGTGTATTTTTTTAAAGCAAGGGCCAAGGTACACTACCATTTGCTTCCTGTTTCAAGTTTTCTCATGAAATGTAGGAAGACTGAGTTGGTCCTTAATCTGCTCAGAGTAGGCTTCAACTTGGAAGTTTTTTTTTTTTTTTTTTTTTTGGTTTGTTTTTTGAGACAGGGTTTCTCTGTGTAGCCCTGGCTGTCTGGAACTTGCTCTGTAGACCAGGTTGGTCTTGAACTCAGAGAGATCCGCCTGCCTCTGCCTGTGCTGGGATTAAAGGTGTGGGCCACCACCTCCGGGCAACTTGTAAATTTATTAAAGATAAAGATTTAGGCCAGTCACTTGGGGAGTTTGAGGCCAGCCTGGTGTACAGAGCAAGTTCCAGAATAGGATCCAAATCTACACAGGGAAACTTTTTCTTGGAAAAAAAAAAAATAAATAAATAAATAAATAAATGAAATAATGAAATGAAAAAAAAAATTTAGTTCCAGTTTACTTTGAAGCAGAAAGTACTTCCCCTTTTAGACATATCTTGAAACACAGCGCTTGTCCCATGGAAATTACTCGATGTGCTAGCTCCCTGGAGTCTTCCAGAGTCAACAAAAGGGACAATTTCCTACTGTCCAAAACTTAGAAGAGATCGTGCAGTATGTCAGTCCCAGCTGGGAAACAGGGGCACATCCACTGTTGCTGCCACAACCGGGAAGGGTTAACTGGGCAGATAGCGGCCACAGCCGTCCCTTGACTCTGACACCAAGCGAGACTGAACAGCAGAACTTACTTCAGAGTCCTTGGAATTAAAGGATGGCCAACAAGCTGGCCTGTCAGTAAGTACGCCCTTTGTCACCGAGCGCCGCCGCAGACAGGCAGCTTGTAAGTGGTGGAGACTGCCCATCCGTGAAGACTTAGGGACCCACTCCCAGCCTTCTCTGCCTTTTATCTGCAACAGGACTCTTTCCAAGGCAGGGATTAAATGAATGTTCCCGAAAAGAAAGAACAAGTGCTGCCCATAAAAATGAAGTCAGGGCCCCCAACACACACTGTTCTGAAACTGTCCCACATACCTGTAACAGCTCATCGCGGGAGATCTTGTCATCTTTATCCAAATCATAGAGTCTGAAAGCAACTGGTAGGAAAACACAACAAGTCAGTGGGCAATTTGCAGTCCTTTGTCCTTTCTCAAGGAGCTGAGCACACAAAGGACAGGAGACAGAAAACTGATACCCAATATAGACCTGTCAGAGTTCCCGTCCTACTCTTCTTCAGTAAAGAGCTGCGATTTCTTCCTCTTTTTGCTTTTTGAGACAGAATTCTCATGTGGCTGAAGCTGGCCTTAAGCCTGATAATCAGCTACAGCTGGCCTTGAGCTCCTGATCTTTCCATTCCACCTCCTAAGTGCTGGGATTACAGGCATCCCAGTGCCCAGCAAGGACTGGAGTTTTCAATAAAATCAACAAGACTCGGATGTCTATAATCCCCACCCCACTGTCTAGAGCTGGGATTATGGGTGTGGACGGTATACCTGACTTGTCATTCAAATGGGCACCTAAACTCCAGTCCTCAAGACAGTGCAGCAAGTGCCCTGAGGCCCCCCCCACATCATCTCTCAGTCCCTGCCCTGCCTGTCTTACGTTTCTCTTTCAGAAAGGCTACACAAAAACTTTGCTTATGTCAATATAAGAGAGAGAATTCAGAAGAGTAAAACCTAGTCAGTTTTTTTTGCCATGTTGTTTAAGACCTACTGTGTGAACGGTATTTTGAGAACACTAGGTAATTTTGTAAGAATAAGAGATGAATTCACTGAAGTTACTGTTACATAACTGAATTCAGGTAGTTTTTAAACTACTTCAAGTAAGCCACTGTGATTTCTGGTTATTTATTATGTCTTTTGACCTAGGGTCTTGCTCTAGAGCCTACACTGGCCTGGAACTACGTGGCCCAGGCTGGCCTCAAATTCACAGCAATTTCCTGCGTCAGCCTATGGGCTTGACCTACCATGCCTGGACTGCCAAGCTAGGCAGAGTAATGCACCCCTGGAACCCCAGAACCCGAGAGGTAGAGACAAGAGGATCAGGAACATATAGCCAACCTCAGTCACACAGGGTGTTTTAGGCCAATCTAGGCTACAAGAGACCTTGTCTCAAAAGAAAAAATAAAATAAATAAAAGAGCGCTGAACCCAGGTCCTCTAGAAGAACAACGAGTACTCTTAACTGCTGGGCCACCTCTGTAGTTTTTTTGTTTGTTGTCTGTTTTTTGAGACAGGGTCTCAGTGTTGCCTAGACTAGCCTTGAACTTTGAACTAACAGAGATTTTTTTTTGTTCTGCCTCCCAAATGCCGGGATTCAATTCATACTTGATCATGCCCAGCTCTTAATTTCTTGACTAGGCAAATGGAATGAGGATTCTCCTACAATCTTAGTTGACTTTTTAATTTTTTTGGAGATAGGGTCTTATGTAACCCAGGCTGGCCTTGAACTTACTGTTCTTCCAGAGAACTAAACACACACTAGGAGGCTCCCATCCACTGGTTTCCTCCAGTTCCAGGGGCCCCAACACATTCTAGACACACGTGCATGTGTACGGACACACACAGAAGTAAAAATGATTTTTATTTTTTTAAAGAGGAGGGGTTGGGGCAATGAATCAAGAGAGCAAGAGCAGCCTGAAGAGCAAGCTTTCAGCTCAGTGAGAGCCTGTCTCAAGGAAAGAAGGCAGAGAGGAACAGAGGAAGAGCCCCAGCACCCTGCTCTGGCCTCCTCACTTACATGCACTCGTGACAACATGTCCACACCATGAAAGAGGAGGAGGACCAGTGTGTGTGTGTGTGGGGGGGGGGGGGGACAGCAGCAGCAGCAGCAAACTCAGAGAAATAGTTTCATCCTTTCGAACCAAGACTAAGGGGAAAGAGTTCCCATGTGGTCCAGACCTTTCTACTACCCATGTTTCTAGTATTATTCCCATCCTGCCTTAGGATGGGACATTAGATAAAATCAGCAGGACTACTGGTGCATTAGTATTAACTGAAGTCCACAGTGTACGTTAAACTTGACTGAGTCTTGACAAATGCATACCCGGTATTACGCCATACAGAATAGTTTTACTCCCCTCCAGTTCCCATCTTTACCTCCCCGCCCTCGAAACAATCCCATCTAAGGCTTCTGAAAGAGAACTCTGCAGACCACACTCCCCAGGTACTAGGTCCTCTCCTAACCCAAACAATCTCGATCAGTTTGCATCCGTCCTCTCCGTCTTCTTCTGTCCCCGCCCTAAAACAATGTATTGAGCTGTGGCAATAAAATACAGTATTCTGAAAGGGCATAGCTGTCACCCCACTGTATGCTAACAAGAACAATTTGGGAACTGCAGTTCATTTTCTATCCCAGAGATACACTAGAACTTTGAAGATACCGAAGCCTATCAGTCATTATAATAAACATGTTTGTTTTGTTTTGTTTGACACAGTCTCACTTTGTGGCTCTGACTGTCCTGGAATATACTAGGTAAACTAGGCTGGCCTCACAGAGACTAGCTTGCTTCTGCCTCCTGAATGCTGGACTATAGGCCTGTGCCATCACGCCCAGTCAACACAAAGTCTGACCCTTGTTGTTGTTGTTGTTTTTGAGACAGGGTCTCTTACATAGCCCTGGCAGACCAGGAACTCATCATGTAGACCAGACTGGCCTCAAATTCAGAGATCTGCCTGCTATTACCAAAGGCAAGTTCCACCATTCGCTGTAGGTCCCTGGCCCTTTTTTAATGATTTTTGTTTTTTTCAGACAAAATATATATATGTTGCTTATCTGGCTTTGAATTTGTGATCTTCCAAGGATTCAGAATAATAGGTACACACAACTGTGACTGACTGATTTTCTTTTTCTGTGTATATAGTAAAAAAATATAACAAAATTTGCAATCTTAACTATTTTAAGAGTATAGTTTATTAAGTATACTCATATTGTTGCAAACCAATGGCAAGGAGATCTTTTTAAAATTTAATTTTTATTTATCTATTCATTTATTTATTTGTTTTTCAAGTCAATGTTTCTCTTTGTAGCCCTGGCTGTCCTGGAACTAACGCTGTAGAGCAGACTGGCCTCAAACTCACAGAGATCCTCCTGCCTCTGCCTCCCCAATGCTGGGATTAAAGACGTGCATAACTACTGCCCAGACAACATAATTTTTTAATAATTTATTTATTTTTACTTTATGTGCACTGGTGTTTTGCCTGCATGTATGTCTGTGTGAGGGTGTCAGATCCCCTGGGACTGGAATTACAGATAGTTGTGAGCTGTCATGTGGGTGCTGGGAACTGAACCTGGGAACTTTGGAAGAGCAGCCAGTGCTCTTAACCGCTGAGCCATCTCTCCAGCCCCTAGAACTATTTTTGTTTTGTAATAAAAGTCTATTATTTAATAGGTATGTGGGGTTTTTTGGTTTTTGGTTTGTTTTGTTTTCCCTGAATGTTTGGTTGTGTACCACGTGCATGTCTGGTACTCAAAGAGGCCAGAAAAGGCTCTTGGATTTCTCTGGGACTGGAGTTACAGATGGTTGTGAGCTGCCCTGTAGGTGCTGGGAATGGAACCTGGGTCCTCTGGAGGAACAGCTACTACTTTTGTTTGTTTGTTTGTTTGTTTTTCTAGATAGGGTTTCACTGTGTAGCCCTGGCTGTCCTAGGACTCACAGATATCCACTTGCCTCTGCCTTCGGAGTGCTGGGATCAAAGATGTATGCCACCACTGCCCCTCATAGCTAGTGCTTTTAACTTGTGAATCATGTCTCCAGTTTCTGGTGAGCATTTTCTTGTTTGTTTTGTTCAGTTTTTTAAAAAAGAGTCTCAATAGGGTATGGTGGTGCATGCCTTTAATCCTAACAATTCAGAGGCAGAGGCAGGTCTCTGCTGAGTTTGGAGGCCAGCTTAAATTTGGAATTACAGGCCAGCCAAGGCTACATAGTAAGACCTTGCCTTAAAAAAAAAAAGAAAGAGAGGGAGGAGAGAGGGAGAGAGGAAGGAGGGAAGGAGGGAGGGAGGAAAAGAGGTAGGGGAAGGGAGAGAGGGAGAGAGAGATATCAATGTTGATATATAGGCAAAGCTGCTTCAGGAGAAGCTACAATTCTCTGAGGTTCTTGTAGAATATCCTTTCTAGACCCTGGGTCCACAGACAAAGGAATTCATGACTGCGGAAAGAAAAAATGATCTTCTCAAAATGTCTACTGGATAGGTACCTGTGACTCTGAATGCAACACAAATGGATGATGATTCACATGCACATATTGCTGGATTCTCAGTTGACCATCTGTGCTCTGCATCAATTTAAGGTTTAAGATTGTTCTTTGACCAAATACCACATCCTGTTATTTAATGTATAATAAAAGCAGATACAACTTCCATCAGCAGACCCACACTCAAGAAAACAACTACTACCAAGCTGGGTGTGGTGCACGCCCTTAATCCCAGGGCTCGGGAGGCAGAGGCAGGCAGATCTCTGTGAGTTCCCTGTCTACAGGACAGCCAGAGCTACACAGTGAGATCCCATCACAGAGAAATAAAAAAGAAAAGAAAAAGAGAACAACTACTGGTGGCCGATGGTGGTGCACACCTTTAACCCCAGCACTAGGGAGGCAGAGTTCAAGGCCAGCCTGGTGGGCAGAGTGAGTTCCAGGAGAGCCAGGGCTGCACAGAGAAACCCTGTCTGGGAAAACAAGGAAAAGTACACAACCACTGGCCCAAGGTCACTAAGAACGAGTGCTTAAGCAGCTTAAGGCAAAGGAAAATGGTGAACCATGTGTACTTTCCTAGGATTCTATGCTTCAACTGGTTTTCCAATTATGCATTAACTCCTGGTCTCAAGTCAGGCAAATCCATTTTTACTATATAGTATCAACATCAGGTGGGCATACACTAGAAATCTGCTAAAACACTAATCAAAGCTGGCCGTGGTGGCACTCAGGAGGCCGAGGGGAGGAGGACCGTCCCAAGTTTGAGACTTGCCTGGATTACACACTGAGTTCCAGCCTGGACCACAATGTAAGACTGTCTAGAAAACAATTAAAAACAACATAATAAATAAAAACACCAACAACCCACAGACAGAAGGCTTTGCATGAAGCAAACAGTACTGGGTCTTGAAGGAGGAAAATGTGGCTCACCAGTGCAGTCTATAACAAACATGAGGATAATGCACAGAATTCTGTTGCTGTATTCAGCTTTGTTTCTATTGAAATTTTCTGCCATTTGTCAAGCACTATAATGTTGTGGTAAAGCTCAACAGTAATTTAGTACTTTTGTTCAAGAATCTTCTCTGGCCTAAATAACAAGATTCACTTCAGTGATTCTCAAACTGGCCATTAATGCCAACAAAAGGGAACTCATACTCCTCCCAAGAAGATGAGCAGACAAAGGCCAACAACCACAAACTAAAACTTCATGGGGCATATGTCAAATATATGAAACGTAGCATTATGTAATCTAACTTATTTGTATCTGTTCTAATATTTAAAAAGTTTCTAGGATCTTTAAATCATCACGGGCTCCATTTAATCTGTGGCTGTACAAACTCCTGGGCACCACCCATGCATTCTTTCAAGGCAGAGTTGGGCTCAATCAGTTTCATACAATTTCAATATCAACTTGTGTTGAAAGAAAAGTAGAAATTCAACTTCAACTTCCTGGAAAAGTGTTGTAAAGGACTGGGCAGCAGTCCATGGCCAACAAGGGCAGAAGGAAATCTGGTATCTAAAGAAAGGAGGCAAGAGGCAACAGGCACAGGAAATGAAACATTGCCTCTGTTACTGGAACTTCAGTCAAATGCAGAATCCACCAATTCCTGAACAGACGGAGATTCAGCATTATCTCACAGGCAGGGCCTGGGCCTTGCTCCCATGCTCCCTGTTGTCACTCTAGTACCTTCTACAGTGCCTGGCCTACGAGAGATACTCCATTATAAGAGCAGGTAACACTTAGCGTATATACAAGGTGCTGTGGAAAGCACCTGACATATATTAATTCTCACAACAGGAAGAATCTCTTAGTGGGGACTACAGATGTGGCTCAGTAGTAAGAGTGCTTGTCTGGCACACTTTATGCCTTGGGCTTTACCCCAAGCCCCTCAAAAATAAGGTGTGGTGGCACATGCCAGTAATCTCAGTACATGGGAGGTGGAGACAATGGAAGTAGGAATTTAAGCCAGCCTTGGCTTGCCTAGGAAACATGTGATTCTGTCTCTAGCAGCAACCAAAATCTCTGAATGAGCTACGGAAATGATGTATAAAAGCCCTTAATATCTCATTTCACACAAGAGAAAACTTCAGCCCAAAGACCTCAGGTAACCTGTCCAAAGTCTCATAGGCAAAAAAAGGTAAACCGGGAATTCCAACTCAGCTTGGCCCCATGGACTGCTTTTATAAATGATGAAAGAGTAAATGAGCAGAGATGATGGGGGAGAGGAGGAAATATGCTAAGCCACAGAACGGATGCTCCTTACAGTGCAGTTTGTTGCTTCGGCTGTTGAGTGGTTCAGGTCCATTCACATCTTTGCTCTTTTCGTTATCCTCAATGGGTCGGAAATGAGCCAAAGTTCTCATGAATCCTCGGAAGTTTACCTGGTCCTCTCTGATTAGGAAATAGAACAGAACACCATGTCAATCGGGGTGGGCTCTTCTGTTTGTATGTTTTTTTTTTTTTTTTACAGTGTTTAGGGATCAAACTGAAGGACTTCCCAGTCAGGTAAGTACTCTGCCACTAAACTATATTGATTCATGGTGACTGTTTATGATGGACACAAGAAATGGCCAACACCTCGGGCCTGATTAGCCTGAAAGTCCATATAACAACTTTCTTTCCATATGCATGCATTGCACCTCAGGGCTTACACAGTATCTCCATCCAGAAGCCTCACCCCAACCCTGCAAAGTGGTATATTGTTCTCATTTATTAAATGATTAACTAGGCTGAAAGAAGGAAAGTACGTAGCTATGGTCAGAGTTATCAACTGAATTTACTTATCTTTTCCAAAAATCAGATGTAGAGTAGGGCCAGCACCACACAGGATAAAACTCTTCTGCTTTGCATTCTGGAACAGCCACCATGTTAATACAATAAGGTATGCCTAAAGATATTCTAAAAAATCTTGCTTGTTTGTTTACTTATTCTACGACAGTCTGTCACTGTAGCCAGCCTGGCTTTGAATTCCCAGCGGTCCTGTTTCTGCTTCCCAAGCGCTAGGCTAACAGGTATAAGCCTATTACCATGCCCAGTAACTTTGCTACGCTTTCCTCCCTCTCTTCCTCCTGTAGTGCTGGGAATCAAACACAGGGCTTCAGCTACACCAGGCAAGCACTTTACCACTGAGCTATAGAGCCAGCCCTGTGGTTTTCTTTCTTTTTAAAAAAATAAGTTTTTTTTGTGCATGGGTGTTTTGCCTGCATGTATGTCTGTGTACCACTTGCATGCCTGGTGTCTGTGAAGGTCAGAAGAGAGCAACCCATTCCCTGAACAGGAGTGAGCTTCCATGTGTGGGCTGGGAATTGAACCTGGGTCCTCCTGAAGAGCAACCAGGGTTTTTAACTTATTATCCATTGTTCCAGCCCCTAGCCCTATACTTTGTTTTGTTGACAGGATCTCACCATGTAATCCTGGTTGGCCTGAAATCTACTGTGAATACCAAGATGCCCTTAATTTTTGAAAATACTCCTGCCTCTGCCTCCCAAGTGCTGAAATTACAGGCATACCCATCACTGCCTGACTCCCTTTTAATCTTAAAAAAGAAAAAAAATGCTGCAGTAAAGATAAACATTGCAGTAAGGTATGGCGATAGAATCTGTAATCCCAGCACCCAGGAGGCAGAGACAAGGGACTGCTTTGAGTTTAATCCAGTTTAGGCCACATAAGAGTGCTAGGCCAGCCAGGTGGTGGTGGCACACACCTTTAATCCCAGCACTTGGGAGGCAGAGCCAGGCAGATCTCTGTGAGTTCAAGGCCAGCCTGGTTTACAGTGGAAGATCCAGGACAGGCACCAAAACAACACAAAGAAACCCTGTCTCAGAACTCCGCCTCCCCCCCAAAGATTTATTTACTTATTTTATTATATATACAGTGTTCTGCCTGCATATATTCCTGCATGCCAGAATAGGGCATCAGATGCCACTATAGATGGTTGTGAGCCACCATGTGGTTGATGGGAATGGAACTCAGGACCTCTGGAAGAGCTGCCAGTGCTCTTAACCTCTGAGCCATCTCTCCAGCCCAGCAGTACCTTTTCTCAAAACAACAAGAACAACAAAACCAATCAAACAAAATAACAACAACTAAAAGGGCTAGCGATACAGCTTAGTTGGTAAAGTACTTGCCTAACATGCATGAAACCCTGTGCTTAAACGCCTAGTACCACATAAAATTGAGTGTAGTGGTTCATGCCTATAATCCCAGCGCTCATGAGGCAGGAAGAAGAGAACAGGAAGTTCAAGGTCATTCTTGACTACATAGATTTGGGGATCAGCCTGGGCTACATAAGACCCTGTTTCAAAAAAAAGGAGGATGGCAGCACTTGGGAGGCAATTAGGTAGATCTCAAGTTCAAGGCCAGTCAGAGTTATATAGTGAGGAAAAAAAAAGTTTTAGGCTGAAGATGTAGCTCAGTCAATAGAATGCTTGCCTAGCATGCACAAAGCCTTGAGTTTGAACTTCAGCACATGGTCATAGTGGTGGACCCCTATAATCCCCTCCACTCAGTGAGTAGAGAGAGGAGGATCTGAAATTCACCGCAGCTGAGCTGAGAAGCCTCAGCAGGTAAAGGCATTTGCTGCTAAGTCTGAGGACTGAGTTGAGTCCCCAGAACCCACAGTAGAAAGAGAACTGACTCCTGGAAGGTGTCCTTTCACCTCCATGTATGTGTGCCTACAACACACACACACACACACAGAGAGAGAGAGAGAGAGAGAGAGAGAGAGAGAGAGAGAGAGAGAGAATGTAGTAAAAAAATAAAATAGCAACAACAAAAAGGACATAATTCTATATTGAATAAATGAATTGTTTACCAGTTACATACAGGGTCGCCCATGTGACTTGTTTAGTTAAGACAATCCTATCTGTCTCAGGTGACCTGCTTCCCAGAGCTACCTAAAAACATCCTGCCAGGCATAGTGGCATACACTTTTAATCCTAGCACTTGGAGACAGACAGATCTCTATAAATTCAAAGATAGCCTGGTCTACATAGTTCCAGGCCAGCCAAATCTACACAGTGTGAGAACCTGTATCAAAAAACAAAAACAAAACAAAATCCCAGTCTTCTCTGGGTGATCCCAGCATTTAGGAGGCAGCAGTGGAAGGGATTCTGAACTTGAGTTCATTTTGTACTGCAAAAGGGACCATGTTTCAAAAACAAAACAGAGTTTAAATAACCTTCGGTCTCTAAGTGTCAGGCAGACACAGTTCAGAGACCCACTAACGGGAGAGATCAGGGGAAGGCTAACTCGAAAGGGTGAGCTTTGCTTCCCTCAGGAAGCCACCACACTCCTCATGGAGTAGGATGGTATCTGTACCAGAATGGAGGCTCTGCGCAACCAAGCAACATGGAGCACCTGGGGGGATGTTATCACACGATGTCTATAACAGAGAACCAAACATCCAGGTTCTACTGTCAAATTTCAGTCTGAAGAAAAGAAAAGCCTCCCTCTTTAGGACAGAGGAAAAATACAAGCCTGGGAGCCGAGCAGCACGTCTGGTAGGGACAGGAGGCAGGCATAGGCTGCCTCTGCCCGGCTACAGAGGACCGGAGGAGACGGCAGGCAGTAAACAGAGTAGAGGAAAGACAGCTTTGCCTTTCCAAACAGACTTCCAGAGCAATTCCAGGGGCCAGACAATCTGAGTGCATTCCCCAGAATCCAACTGGTGCAAATGAGAACTGAGTCCTGAAAGTTGCCCTTTAATTTAAATACACACAAAATAAATACATGTGAAGAAGAATAAGGATAAGAATAAGAATGAGAAGGAGAATGAGGAGAAAAAAAGGAGGAGGAGGAGAAGAAACGAAGAAGAGAAAAGAAGAAAAGAAGAAAAAAAGAAGACGGAGGAAGAGGAAG